GGGCGCCAGGGCAGCTCATGGTAGAAGTCCTCGCAGCGCTCACAGTTCAGCCCCTGCGTGTGGTGCTTGCAGACACAGCGCCCGTGGATCTGGGGGAGAGCATCTGGATCAGCCCAGGCGGTCACCCTGCACCATGCCGTTCCGCGCTGCATCTCACCATGCCAGGGACAGATGGCGGAGCACCAGGTGCAGGGGCACACTCAGCAGCGTGGCCGTGGCAGAAGCAGCTCCCACGCATCACCAGCTCATCCACAGCATAGTAGTATTTGTGCAGCACTTCCTGCCGTGAGTCCAGCAGGTTGTCCCCCAGCGTGTGCAGCTTGGTGAGGTTCACACGCAGGTTGGTGACACGCAGCAGCTCTGGGTAGCACAGGTGGCATCGTCAGTGCTCACTGCGCTGCCCCAGAGCACCGCATCCCGTCCCTATGGACACTCACCCTGGATGCTGGGACTGTATGGGTCCACCACTGGGATGGAGGGATCCAGCACCTTGAAGATGACCTGGAGGTGGGATGTAGCATGTCAGCGCATTCCCCAGCCCCATCTCCCCACACCACCCAGCCGTACGCACCTCGCCGTGGCTGGAGGGCTCAATCTCAGAGTAGCGCTGCTCACACAGCACCTCGCCTATGTGCCCTGAGGGATGTGTGGGGATGCTGGGGAAGAGCTTGGAGCAGTTGTAGGCGAAGTAGCGGTACGTCTTCCAGCTGCGGCCAAAGTCAGCCGAGCGCTCCACCAGCATGGCTGCGGGACGGAAGGTCTGCAGGGCACACAGTCAGATGGGGGCACACGCTGGGATAGGGACCGGCGGGTCATGGGGACCATCCCACTGTGCCCCGTGCACCCACCTTGAACTTCATGATGAGGTGTGTGAAGTGGAACTCGCCTTCCAGGTCCAGCTGGATGCTGACGTGCTCCACACCTGCAGGGACGGATGGTCTTGGCTGAGGCACGCAGCCCACGTGGGGACACACGCATGGTGTGGCCATGCTCTCACCATTCTCCGACTGCCACCAGCTCCTCTCGCTGTGGGGGCCGTGCAGGTAGATGACGTTCTCGATGCGGTGGCTCTCACGCAGGGCCGGGTTTCGTGAATCACAGGTGAAGCATTTCTCAGAGTCCTGCACGGGGAGCATCAATCGCTCTGGGGCTGCACCGGCACACTTCGCCATGCTGTGCTGTGCTGTGCCATAGGCTCACCTGGAGATGGCTGACGATGCAGTACTCCTGGGGCCCCTGCAGCCCGCAGGTGGACGAGGCACTGAGCTGCCGAGCTCTCCCCACCAGCAGGTTGCCGGTGGCCGGGTAGCAGCTGCCACGGGCACAGCCCTGGGATGGATCTGGCTCCTCCCAGCCCCCTGCTGCTGGCACCCCTGCTGCACAGAGCGCAGGGGTTGGGAGGGCTGTGCCACAAACCCACAGCCCATAGCCCTGTGCTACCCTACCCCCATCCTGCCCCATCCCCACATCCTGACCCACTGATGCAGCACAAAGCTCCGTGACCCGGAAAGATGCTGGCAGTGTGGCTGTGGCCTCATGACCGGGGGGAAGGGTGAGGGCCGGGAGGGCAGCACCAGCAAGTGGGACGCTGGGCTGCGGGCTGCTGGCAGGAAGGGATGGGGAGGGGGAGAGTGTGGGTGTTGCAAGCACTCGGCTCACAGAGTGGTGCCAGGGGGAGCTGGGAGCCAGGTCAGGTGCTTGCTAATCCTGCAGGGCTCAATGCAGCCCAGATTCCTCGCTGGGATTTGCAGTACCTAGGCCCTCACCGCATTAATATGGCCCTGCGACCCACAGCTCCTGCACAGGGCAGTGGTCCTGGGGCCACTGCAGCCCCGGGAACTGTGGGAGCAGCACTTACCCAGGAGGAGAGCGAGGACCAGGACATCCATGGGCAGCCACGGGCCCTACCTGTGGGGCACAGAGATGGGGCTGCAGCATGGGGCAGCACTGCCTGGGCCTCTCGCAGCCCCACACACGCATCACCCGTCTCTCAACCATGTCCCCAGCCCCATGGCTGCATCCCCACACCCCATCCTGCAGTCAGAGAGCACCCATCCCTGCCTCCGTGTCCAGCACTGGTACTAGTGTCCATTGGGTCCAAGCACTGGACCAGGACACCTGGGGACAAGAGTCAGCAGGGCTGGAGCAGGCCAGGCAAGGACGTCCTGCAGCTGGCCGGGGTCCTGCTGTTAAATTTAGGCTCCTGTTGCGCTCTCTTCTCAGCCGTCACCGCCTCCTTCCAACCTTGCAATCACCGGATCAAAGCCTGACTCCACGCCGCCCCAGCACAGCCTTCCTGTCCCCGCATGCAGCCGCCCGGGGCTGGAGGACGCCACAGGCCCATCCCAGCCGGACACCCGCGCTCTGCCCGGCGCCGGTCCCGCTCAGCGCAGTGCCAATGGGCTGGAGAGGCAACACCGAGCGCTTCCCTAGCCCTGACCCCGGCCCGGCAGTACCTGGGTAGTGCAGCGATGTGTGAGGCCGGAGGTGAGGGCCCACCGCCCCAGTCCAGGCGTGCAGAACTGAGCGGGGCGACGGGAGGCGATGGGAAAGCGGGCAGCCGTCCGGCCCCCCCGCACACACACAGACACACACGATTCTTATTCAAATGCGCTGCCCACTGAATGGGACGGCGGTCTCCAGGCTACGGGAATGTCACTGCCGATTCCTTCTGCCTGGAGGCCCTCGCCGCCCGCCCGTGGGGCTGTGGGGCCAGGCCTGGCAGTGCGGCCCAGCCAGGCGTCGGCAGCCCAGGCACGCCCCGGTGCCAACAAAGACGCCTCGAGAGGCTGCCGGCTCATCTTCCATGGGGCCAAGCCAAGGCCCCATGACCTCCCTGCCTGGGGATGCCGCGCGGCACCGCCCGGGCTCAGCACTGGGGCCGTGCTGGGTGTCGGCAGGCACGCGGCCCTCCAGGCACACACGGGGCTCGCCGGGCAAAGTCCGACCCGCACCCACCCTGGGGAGCACCCGGTGGCCGTGGGAGGATGCAGCCCCTCCTCACGAGGACCCCGGCCCCGTTCCTCACATACTGTGCCGTGCTGGCTGCCCGTGCCCAGCCGTAAGGCCACGCCGCGCCCTGGGGCCCTGCAGCCGCTCCTACCTGTGCACGTGGGGCCGGCGGGCCGGGCAGGTGGCCGTGCCCTCTGGGGGCCACGAGCTGAGCCGGCACGGCCCCGCTGCGCTCGGCCGCTTGTTCCTGGAGGAGGGCGGCTAATGGTTGTCTCCTCCTCCGTGCACTGTGCCAGGGAGGGAGGGCCCTGCCTGCGTCGAGGTGCAGCAAGGTGAGGCGCAGGCCGGGTGCCAGGTGGTGGTTGCCCCGCACGGCACAGCCATGGCCGGTCGCGTGGCACCGTCAGCACACGCCATGGCTGCGAGTCGCCGTGCGGCCCGTGGGCACCCCATGCCTACACAGGGCGCGTCTCCAGGAGCACAATGCGCGCCCTGGGGCGGCACGCTTCCCCACGCCTCCCTGCACCACAAACCCTGCTCCGCAGGTGCTGCCGTGCCCTAAGAGGCCTCACTTACCCCGTGCCCGCCGGCGCTGCCTGGGATCCCCGAGAATGCTGGAGCCCAACAAAGTCCTCACTGTCACATGGTGCCTTTTATTAGCCAAGGCTGAAGGAAGGAAGAGGACCCGCGTGCTTGCACCAAGGCCGTGCTCTGGCTGCATGCCGCGGAGCAGGGAGGCAGGAAGGTAACGCAGCCCCCAGGGCCCGGCAGCACTCAGCGTGTCCCAGTGCTGCTCATCCCCTGGGCGAGGGATGCCAGGGCTCAGAGCAGGGTGGATGTGCAGCTCAGTGGCCGGACACTGTGCAGGGGAAGCCCAGAGGAAGGGAAGGGCCATGCTCAGCAAGGCTCCCACGGCAGTGACCGGGCACCGACCTTGGCTCTGGTGAGGTAATGGGAGAGCTGGGAGGAGATGAGCTGATAAAGAGCCACTAGCACGGGCCAGCAAGTCTGACAGGATCTTGCCAAGCACATCTTATTTGCTCTGGGGAGATCGCCAGTGGCCCGATAAAGGTGGCTGTAATAGGATCTCCGGCCTTGGAAAAGCAAGAGGGAGGAATCCTCAGATCCTTCTGAGGATCTGAGCAGCCAGCAGTGCTCCTAAGGCCACATCCCCTGCCTCCCAAAGGCTGCTGGCTTCCCACCCAGAGCAGCTTGAGCCTGGCGGATGACACAGGTGGGGGCAGTGAGCTCAGCTCCACTCCCGCAGCACGCAGCTGGTGTGCTGAGCAGCCTCCCACGCCTGGCCAGCCCTGCTGGACCAACTTCAGTGCGCCCAGCGGGCGGCTGACGCTTCCCTGAACATCCTCAGCAAGCAGAGCTGCTTAACCTCTTTCCTGCCTGAGGACTTTGCTCGGGCACCCTGCATGCCACAGGGGCTGACTCACCAGGGTGCTGCAGCTCGCCGCTCTGGGGCAGTTCCCAGCTGTTCCTGGTGCACCGGGAGGAGCAGGCGCTCGGCTGGGGCCGCAGTCCCACCACTGTTAGTGCCAGGTCAGTGCACCGATGGCCCGGCAGGACAAACGGAGCCAGATCACACAGCAGCAAACAATGGCATTGCTGTTGAATTAGCCAGCAGAAAGGGATCCCGAGGGAAGAGGGAGGGGGGCAGGCAAGCGGGGCCTGGCGGAGCGCCAACAGCACAGCGCCGACCCGGGAACTAACCTGGAATGCAGATTGGTGCCAGTTGTACCAGCATGGCACCAGTGCTGCTCGTCTGGAGCATCTCCCATCCTGAGCCAGGCATTCCTTCGTAGCAGCTGGGCGACCCCACAGCTCACTGGGGTGCACGGGTGTGCCTGAGTGGAACAGAGCAGCGGTGGCACACTGCAGGCACAGCACAGTCCCCCTGCAGCATCCCCACGGGCTCGGAGCTGCAGCACTGTCTGGCAGGGACTAAAGAAGAGCCGGACACGCTGAGTGGTTCTGAGCACCATTTACTGAAGGGCTGGACAACTGCTAGGACTTCATAACAAAAGTTCATTTCATTTAAGAAAAAAGACAGTCTGTTTTTTGTCCTGTTCCCTCCTAAGAGTGGAATAATACTAACGCTGTCTTTTCACTAAACAATGCCATTCCAAAATATACAACACTGAGTGTGGAACAGCCCAGCCTCATATTAAACATTAAATATACCTTCAGAAACATTCTACACAAACAAATGAAACAGTATAAGGTTCACTCGAGAACAAGATGGTCGGTTGTTGTGAATTCACCATACAAAAGTTTGTTGTGTGCCCAGCCATGGGGACGAGGCAGCGGCACCAGCAGCCTGGGCACGGCACATCGCTGCTCCCAGTGTCACTTGGGGTTCCCAAATGTTGGGGACCGTTGGTGGCTGCGCTGGTGGCACCAGTCCTGGCCAGGGCAGGGTGGTCATGCTGAGCTGTGGAGGTGGTTCTCTCAGAGGTGATGGCTGGAGAAGGAGCTGCTGCAGCCAGGCTGTGCTGAGACAGACCCCCGCATCCCTGCCGTGCCCTGCTCCAGGAGCAATGTTTCCCAGCAATGCTGCACTGGGAACCGCAAGGAGGGAATGTCACTACACACCACACAGAGTGTCTTCCCTGACTTCATCCCGTCCCAGGCCTTGATGGGGATGGGGGCACACTCCCAACGCCCTGCTTTGCAGGCTGTGCCCTGGGAATGACAGGTTTTGGCAGTAGCTCTGCAGCACCCACTTTTACAGCAGCACCACGTGCCTCACTGTCTGTGGGAATCACCAAACTGCCGTTAGCAACAGGAACCAGAAGGGCTAATTAAGACAAGGAGAGAGTCCCAGAGGATAATAAGGCCTTTAAGGGACTCCCTGGGGGCAAGGCCTAATCATCCCCACGGGGGGAAGTCATTTCAGATGCTCACTCTCCCCCCCAGTTCTTCCAGAGGGCAGCAGGCAATAGGCACCAGGGGAACTTGTGCCTTCTTTGTGGCCCCACAGCTCAGCAGCTCATGGAGGACAAGGATGAGTGCTGGTTTCACCCCCACAAGGTCCTGCAGAACCGCAGCTCCTGTGCCCAGCATCATGCTACTGGCTGGTAAGTGGAAGCTCTGCTTTGGGGACACTGCACGCGCGGCTCCCTTGCCCTGAAGATCTCTTCTGGCAGCAGAAGCTGGCTGGCCAGGCACTGCTGGATCTTCGTTTTCCCCAAATCCCAGCTTCTGCTTCTGCCTAAGGGATCCTCTGCCTTCCCAGGCAAGTTGAGGGGTCCAACCTCAGCACTACTGCGCTGCAGGCAGCACAGCGCAAGACCGTCACATCCACAGATGCTCAGCCATGGCTGACAGCCATCAGCACTGCCGCACACACAGCCCAGGAGCTCTGTCCTCAGATGGTCCCAGCCTGCACAGCTGACAAGGCAAAGGGACATCCCCATCCAACCCAGTGCAGCTCTAAGGACTCCCAAGCGCAGCTCTCCATGCTAAAACACCACCAGTGGGCTACAAAACAGGAGTTCTGTAATAATAATAATCCCTTATCTCACAGAAAAGTGCTTACAAAATTCTGTACAAGGACACTACTGCAGCTGGCACTTGGGGGGAAAGCAAACAGTTTGGAAGCAGCAGTGCCACGCTACATGGCTTGCAGGAAAAAGGCCAAGGAGAAACTTCTCCAGTTGAAAGCAGCAGCAGAAGGTGAAATCTGATCACAGCGCACATGAGCTTTAAAACATTTCTACCAATTAACACCGTGATTTCAGCCTGGTGTCTGATGTGTGCTCCCTGCTGTACAAGCCGCTCTCCCCAAGGACCTCACTGACAGACATCTGAAGCATGCAGGAAGCTCACAGACCTCGTCTGGTGGAAGCGAAGCATAAACTCTTGCTTCTTGGCAGCCGAATAAAAGAAAAATGATTTCCACAAACTCAGTCTGAAGAACAGCCCTTTGACCGCTGCCTGAATTGTTACTAGAAGTGACAGTGGCAGAAATCCACACAGTAAAAGCATTCCTTAGAGAGTCTCCACAGCCCTTGGCTGTCATGGTGCCCAGGAACAGCACAGGCCAGGTTAGGCACTTGGATGAATTCAAAGAGACTAATACAGAAGCAGGTCTGAGCAACCTGCATACAGCATGTCAGGAGAGACCAGGACACTGCAGGCAACGTGTTTTCCACACGCTGCGCGGCCAGCGCTGCTGCAAGTCCCTGGAAGGCATACGATCCAACACTGTCACTGAACAAACAGGGTGGAAGTGACCTCAGGAGATCTCTGGTAGGGCCAAGGGGTTTGATATCCCCTGACCTTCCCGGAGCTCCAGGCAGCCGTGAGAACAGCGTGAGACAAAGGATGGCAGAACCAAGCACAGACGGGCTGTGGAGAGCCTGCAGGCAACGCCGCCTCTGCCAGGGCGTCACAGCGAGGCTGCACTGGCTGACACTGGCACCAGAGGCCACAAAGCCCCTCCATGAAAAATGAGCTGCCATTCTTCCAGCCAGGTTCCAAACTCATCTGTGATGGGGAAAAGGAGACGTCAGGATGGCAGAGACCCGGTGTTAACAATGTGAATTCAGCAAACGCAAAGCAAGCCTGAGAGCTCCAGCACGGCCCTGCAAGCTCAAGGCCTGCTGCTCTGTGCCACAGAAATGCTGACAGAGGCAGGACTGACCACCTGCAGGTCCCTGAGCACAGCATTACAGGGTGCTCCCGTTCCTGCAGGATTCTGTGATGCAGCCCTAGCACAAAGCATTTCTAGCAGAGCAGAGCTTGCACTGGTGGCCGGGGAAGGATGCTGGGCAAGATAACATCTCTATCCAGCACAGTGCCTGGAAAGGTGGAGCTGAGGCACTGTGCTCTGCACAATGTGCAACGCAGCACAAGGCAAGTCCTCAGCTGGCACAGACTCAAAGCATGAAATAAGAGGTGACAGAAAAGCAGGGAAGCAGAGAGCAGTGTAGCAAAGAAACAGAAGGAAAGTGAGGGATGCAACAGACAGCTGGCTTCAGGTGCTCAGCTTCCTGCTCACACTGGAGGAAAAACAATGTCACCCTAAATTCAGCCCTGTGGATGAGCAACTGCTTTTCCCAGTGGAACCCAGGCACACTGCTGGGAGGTCTCGTGCTGCACAAAGAAGCTCCAGGACAGCTCTTGGTGCCCTTATATGGGGCTGGGAATGGAGGAGCCACGAGAGCAGCGATACCACAGAGCCCTCCCTGGGACACTGCCAGAAAGAGAAACTCCAGCACAGGACTTTGAGACCTGGCATTTGAGAGCGTGGGAATGAGAAAGGTCTGAAGGGGTGGGAACAAAAGGGACAAAGTAATTTCTGGCCAGTTAGCAGTGATGGAGGGTTCTTGTTCATCCAGAACATGTCAGGAAAGGGGATTCTCTGCCAGGGCATTTTAAAACACAGAAGAAAACATTCCTCCTGCTCTGCAGCCAACCAGCGGCATTCACAGGTCAGTCCTGAACACTGCAAGTTATGACGTCTGACAGCAGGTCAGCTGCACACAGTCAAACTGCCCAGAAGCAGAGCGTGTGATGCAGGGCCAGCCATTATCTCCCGAGGGTGAGAGCTGAGCCCGAGCTGTGCCCCAGAACACCAGCTCCTCTGCCCTCTCACTCCCTAGTGAAACTCCTTTCTCCTCTCCCCACCTCAGTTTTGCTCTCTGAGCTGGCGATCAGACACCAACCCCTTTTATTAAGCACTGAAATCCAGACTGGTGCTAGAGAAGAGCTGACACGTAAGAAGCTGTGGCTTCCCTGGAGAGCTCATCCCTTCCCCCAATGTCCCCAGAGATTACTAGGTCAGACAATCAGTATTTTGAGCCGGTGAGAGAATGAGTGGATTACCAGCCCGCTGCTGCAGAGACCTGAACGCAGCACGGCAAACAGCCAGGCACTACTCGCTCTCCCCAGGCTGCCAGACTGCCATACCCCACTGACATCCCATCACAGCCATGTGTACATGCCCGTGTGCCGTCCCTACAGCTGCTGTGTGCTGCTCACTCAGCTTCGACCCGAGCCTGCCCTGGCACAGGCAGCAGCACAGCCCGCTGCAGTGGCACGTGGTGCTCCTGGGGACCAGCAGAGCCTCTGCTGAGCTGTCACGCCTGCCTCATACCTTCTCCCAAAATCCCAGAGGTTGGCAAAGCTGCTATCCATCATTATGCAGTGATTCTCCCCTCCTATTGCTTCATCCCCACAAACTGACAGACATCCCCACAAACTCTCCACACGTAAGTGCTGGTATATACCTTTCAATAATCCATCTCTTCAGTGATTCAGGCTCACAGATGCCACTGAACTCTGAGACAGGTGAGCTTTATCTAATACATTCAGACTCAGCGGGCATCTTCTCCACCAACATCTAGAAACTGCTCCTGACGTGTCCAGCAACAGCAGCTACATCATGGGCAGGGCACTTCAAGCAACGCTGATCAGCAACTCCAGCCCTAAGGCTGTAACAGTCACGGCTCATTTTCTACCTTTGCAACAGGCGTACGAGAGGGGGGAACAACACTGGGCTCCAGTAGGATTGCTCTTTGGAGGCAAACCCCCTAGATGAGTTCAGAGCTCCTGTTACAATTAATAGAGGAAGCACCCAGAAACATCCAGCAAAATTGCAAGCAACAGCGCAGTAGCACTCCCCCACTTTCAGGCAGAGGTAATACCAAAAGTATGATCTCGAGGATAAAAAAGGCATGATAGTACCAACTACCAGCTGGTAATTCTCCAGACTGCTTGGCATTTTCAAGTGGTTATAATTCTGCCTGCTTCTGAGCTGTTCCAAGAGCACCCAGATCAGACTGCCACAACACTGAAACACAACGAAATCCCAGCACCTTCAACAAAAGACTGGCTGACGGGAAGGGGGAACAAAAGCTATCGAACCCAATCCCAGAGGGATGGAGGAAGTGCATCTTCCCACAGTTCCTGGGCTATATGCACATATATGGATATATAAAGTTATAAAATTTGATCAAAATAAAACCAGTAAATGTACAGCTTGAAAAAGAGCAATATCACAGTGCATCCATGTCATGAGAAAGTCATGTGTTCTGACCCTGCAGTGAGAGCACAGCCTGCCACATTTAGAAGAGAGACCAGAGAAGGCGGGCGCTCTGACCTGCTCGGCTCACGGTGGGCCAAAGGCACCATCCCGTATTCCTAAACATGGTTCTGTACTCGTGCAGCCAGTTCTGCACAGTGGTGGTGGTGGACAGCCAGAAGCAGCACAAGAGCAGGCTGCTCCGTCTGCAGGTTAGTCGATGTACAGTCACCAGACACCAGAAATCCAAAGTTGCTCTCAAACTTCACCACGCTCCGGTGCCAGGATCATATTTACTTACAAAAAGTGACCAAGTGAAGAAACTCAGGGGACGCTGTGAGAGTGGGACAAGGGCTGAATTCGGATCACAGGGGACAGGTTGACTCTAAGAATCTTCTGTGCTCTTCTTCTCACTTCATCGTCGGAAGAAGAGTTGCCCACCTTGATGGCCCAAAATTTCAGCAGGTTCAAAGTGCTCCGAGCTCGTCGAGTCTTATTTTGGACAGGAATGGATTTTGATTTTTTTCTCTGCGGCGCATCTCTCGCCTCTGCAACTCTTTTCCTCTTCTTCCCAACAGTCTCCTGGTAAGTGCTGCTATCTTTCCACTCCGCTTTCCCCACCGGAGCTTCCTTAGCTTTGATTTTCAAGGCCTTGGACTGCGGTGCTGTGGTGCAGCCTTGGGAGGAGCTGCCTGCAATTCTTCCGTTCAGGACTCCTGAGGCTTTGCAAGCATTGCTCTCCTGCAGCACTCCACCCTTTAGTCCTTTCAGAAGATTTAAAGCGAGGGTGGCAGAATCCGGTGCTTTCTTTCCCACACGCTTACATCGCTTGCCTTCTCTTATTTTAGTGGTCTTGCTTGAAGAAAATTGCCTTGTCTGGCTTGAAACCTTAAGGAGTTTAAGGTCCGAGGGTGATACCCCAAGAGGCCCACGTCCGTACTTGGATTTCAAACAGGATGTGGGGGTTTTCAGTGGCACCAGAGCTTCCAGAACCACAGAGAGCCTCACTGCCGGATACACATCAGGATACATGCTTGCAGGAAAGCCCACTGCTGGGGCCTTGGACTTCCCCGACCTGGTCTGCTTAAAGGAGTTCAGCAGCAGATTTGTGGAATCACCTTTAGAGACTGGCGGAGAGACTCTCGAAGAGTTCACAGAAATGCTGGTGGGGGAAGCAGATGCCCTCGCCATGGCTGCAGTGCTTCTAGCTGGAGTCTTAGGGGGGCTGGAGGTGGTGGCAGCAGCACAGCTGTGCGGCGTGCTCCCTTTTGCCTGGCTAGGTGTGTCTGCTGTGCACGAGCTGTACCCATACACATCTTTGCTCCTCAGAATTGTGGGCTGGAAACCCTCTTCCTTGAGGCCCTGAATGAAGGCCACCAGCTGGGTTTCTGTGTCTGAAAGGTCCTTCGACATGGGATTGAAGACTCGGAGGGCTTCCTCCAGCACTTTTTGTCCTGCAGAGTAAATTCTCGACCAGGAATGGACAGCTTTTTCTTCCACATTGTTCACTGCAATATTCATGGCATTAGGCAATCGGGTGCTTCAAAATTACTGGAAAAACAACCCTAGGCACCTCAAAGGGAGAGAGAAGATAGTTAGCTTACAGCAACTGAAATCATCTCACATTTTTAAGCGGGGACCTGAAACCATTAAGCCTAGACTTTTGCTACTCACAGGCATCAGGTTGGAATCTGTGCACAACTCCAGCTAGCAGCAAAAAACAAACACTCCATCACTGATTTATCTCTGCAGCAAAACTAAAACATATCTCACAGAAATACACTCAGACCTAAACAAAGATTTCAGACAATCCCATCCAACCCATCCCAGGATGAACAGTTCCAGTCGTTAACTTAGTGACATCCACAGCTTTGTTCCGGTTTGAGTTTGATAGGCCCCAGCATCTGGAACCCAGATCTCATTTTGCCTCTGCAAAGCAACATTTCCTTTAAGCCTTTCCCTGTGCACATACTGAGGACAACATGATCACACCATGTCAGCACTCTCACTGATGAACTAAGCAGCTCAAGCAGCTCAATTCTACTCCTGTGTCACATTCAATTTTTTCAGCTTTGAATTGATTCTGCTCAAAAAAGGATTCCAAGTCCTTTCCAAATCTGCAGCATCCTTCTGAAACACTGACAGCAGAACTGGAGGCTATTTCAGCCATGCTCCAGTGATGCTGAACATCAGGGCAACACAACGCCACTCCTTGCTGTCCCCATGTTTCAGCCACAGTCTACAACTTGCTGTTCCAGCAAACTGCTGTCGATCCAAGGACGTTCGCTGCCAAGTGAGGAAGTGAGAAGTTCAAGTGGAGTGGCAGGCAGGAAATGGGCATCAGCAGGCCATGTGCACAATGGTTAGAAGTACAACACTCAGATCTCACTCAGTGGCACAAAGCAGCTGCAACAAGAGCACCAATTTTGGCTCACAAAACAAAAACAAAAAGATACCAAAGAGCAGGGTGGGATTTCGTGGTGCAACTGGGAGAACTCAAACTCTCACGCTGATTTGGCTGCCCAGCCAACACCTCAGCTGGAAGCAAAAATCTGTAGCACCGTTCTCTAAATAGCGAAGAGGAATCAAAAGAACAACCTTTTCAGGGACATGCTGAAGGTGTGGCAGGCACCAGAGGAGTGGGCAGTATGCAGATAAGAGAGCTGGAAAAATGAGCACTTGAGGCGGCAGAGAGAGGAACTGCTCATAGCCTGGAATCCTCCCAAAGTGCAGCTGCACCGCAGGGCTGGGCAGCTCCTCCAGACAGGGAAAATACACAAGCCCACAGTTTAATATCAGCCAAAAGTAGACAGAGGGGAAGCACAGGTCAGCGAGGGGCTAAGAGCTGCCACATGACAGACTAATCCATGTCAAGTGTTCTGCAGACGTCACAGCAGAAGAGGGATTTGAAGGAGGATCATGCAGTCGCTTTGCAACACCCAGGGTACCTCCCACGGGTGAGGAGGGAAGCGCTTGGACAGGACTGAGGCTGGTGCCCGTGCCCAGCAGCCAGGTTTGCCATCTCCATAATGATCGAGCAGCAGCGGGCACTGTGAAGCCAGCAAGCACAGAGAGCTTAATCCTGATGTGGTAGAGAGTGAGAAGCCAGCAGAGAAGCACAACTAACAACACACTCTTAGTAGGCTGCAAAATTCATAATCTTCCACTGAGAATTTCAGGCTGCACAGAGCCCAGGGGCAGCCAGGACACCTGGGCAGGTATTTTGGTGTCCAACAGCAGTGTGTGGTCCAGTGTTCACTGCCACATGGACAGAACATCCCAGCATCCAGACACACAGCCTTGCTTCGTGCAGTGCAAGTTGCAGTGTGCACAAAGGCCCACCCAAAAGCAAGGCTGTTCAACTGGTGCCCTACTCAGGAACAAGTCCTAGCAAAAGTGCCCGATGGCCACAGCTGCTGGTGTGGCCGCCCTGCAAGCAAGGTGCTCTGCTATCCCAGGAGCAGATCAGTAGCAAAGCCAGAGGGCTCGAGGAGCCCGGGGGCGACTGTCAGTAGGACAAGACCAGGCCAGGCTGCGCCCCAGGAGCTCTGCAGGGCCGACCAGGGAGCGTTCATAGGGCGGGCAGGCTCACGGCGCCGCCTCCCTTCGGTAGCGAGACGATGCCCCTTCCCCGGGCCCGACCCTCGCTTCCTCACATCCTCCCTCGGCCTGGCGGGAGCCGGGACCGTGCGCTTTCGGCCCCACCGACCGGAGGAACCCGGTGCGGACAGCCCCGCCGGGTCTCGGTGCTCTCCCCGGGGGGGCTGCGGGGAGGTGATTGGTGCAGACAGCGGGTGCGGCCCCGCGCCGGCTCCCGGCACCCGGAGGGGGCGGAGACCGGGGCGGGGCCCGCAGAGCTGCGGCTCCGCCTCCAGCACCCGGAAGGCGCTCCCCGCCGGGGCGGCTCGGCAGTGCCCCCGCCCGGGAGCGCGGGACTCGGGCACCGCCGGCCCCAACCTACCGGCCGCCGCCAGACCCGCACCCGCCTCTGCGCCGCACTCTCCGCTCCAACATGGCCGCCCGCAGAGCGCCGGAAATACCGCCCAGTTCCGCTTCCGGCTTCTTGGCCACGCCCACCACATCGAGCCGCCCCCGCCCCCCCCTCTATCGGCCACGCCCCTCCCGACCCTTGAGCGCGGCAACCGCGGCCCCGGGAGGGCTCGGCAGGGGGCGCCGCCGGGGCGGCTGCGGAGGGCGGAAGCGGCGCCGTTTCCAGGCAACGGGCTCCGTGTCGCCGGTTCCGGTGCCGACAGCGGGACCATGAGCGGGCGGGCGGGGCGGCGGCGGTTGGTGCTGCACGTGGACCTGAACAACACGGTGGTGGCGACGGACGCGGTGTCGGGGCTGGGCCCGCGGGAGGCGCTGAACATCTTCCTCAGCACCGCCACCTGGGGCCGGGAGGGGGCTGACGGTGAGCGCCGGGCTTGAGGGCCGGGGGCCGGGGGCAGGGGGCAGGGACGGGACTGAGGGGTCGGGGCTGGAGCTGGGGCCGGGATCGGGGTGCCGGGGCCGGACCGGAGCCGGGGAATCCGGGCCGTGCCTGCGCGGGGTCGGTGGGCAGCCAGTGAGCGGCTTTCTCTCTTGCAGGTGAATGGCAGTGGATAAGTGACCGCCCCTCGCTGCGAGCCCCCTGCCCCGGAGCCGTCAGCTACTACTGTCGCTATGGCCGTGACCAGGCCTTCACCGAATCCGGCCCCGGCCAGTGCTTCAGCAGCCTCCACGCGCAGCACCTGCGGCTGCTGGAGTGGCCGGGTGAGCCCCACCAGGAGCTCTCCGTGCAGGATGGGCACGGCAAGCACTACCACTTCATCCTGCCCTCCTTCTTCCGCCTGCTGGATGCCCTGCACCGGGATGGCAGGGATTTCACTATTATCTTTAGGACCTTTGGTACCGACTTGCCCCGCACACTGTTGGCCCTGCGCTCGGCCCTGGCTGGGCAGCACCCCCAGTTCCCTGCCCTGCGGGACCTGGCGGTGAGTGTGTCCCCATGTGCTGGTGGGGGATCTGCGGGCAGGGTGGCTGAGCTGGGCATGGAGCAGCCTCTACAGCACAACAGGACCTTTACCCAAAGCTGGCCCCACCAGGAGGCAGGGCAGGAGCACTAGTAGCAAGTGTCATAGAATCACAGAATCACTGAGGTTGGAAATGACCATTAAGATTATCTAGTCCAACCATCAGAAGTCACTTCAATTGTTTCTCAGTGAGCTGACAACAACTGGGCACTGAAAGGATGGAAAGGTGCAGCTAGATGGTCTCTATTTCCATTCCCCAGCAGACAGAAAGCTTTTTGGGTTGTGTGGGTTTCACATCTCGTTTTCCCTAGTGCTTTCACATCTCGTTTTCCCTAGTGCTGTCCTCCCACACTGTCATGAAAGGTTACCACCCTGCTGTTTGTTGTCTGTTACAATGCAGTAAACAGTCTGCTTGCTTTGGAAACCTCTCATCTCCTGCTTTCAATAATACTGCAGCTCCCTGTGGTCCTCACTCCTGGCCAAATACGCTGCAGTAAGCAAGAGGTTGTGCTGAAACGAGGATCAGAACGACTCACCACCAGGGAGGATGGAAGAAAGCTGTACGATTACTTCAGCTCTTTGGAGGGAATTGGAGGCTTCCAAGACCACTTTGACTGGTGAGAACTAGGGCACTGAGAAAGCAGATTGGGCATTTTATCCTCCTCTGTGATTCTCCTGGTTTGAGATAGCTCCTAGTTTTGATGCCTTTACATTGTTGCGGCTCCAATAACTTCTGTGCTCACCATTTTGCTTGTAGGCAGGCTGATGGTACTCTTGCATTTTCTGTTGCATCTCCATCCCCTGCTGTAATTCTTGCTTTTTTCTAAACACCCTCTAATTTGTCTCCTGGCTGCAAAGTGTTTCTCTTTCATAGGAGGCAATATTAAGAAGAGAGACAGGACTCTCTCTGCCTACTGTTCCATTTCCCTGGCTCTTAGTAGTAATTTGGTGCTGACTCGACAGCCCTTACATGCAAGCCATCGCCCTGTCCTTTCTCTGACAATGCATTGCACCACCTTTTGTTTCAGGTGGGCCAGAAATCAATTCTCTTCCCAGGGTGGGAAGCCCCTGTGGATAGACCCCCGTGATCCCAGCATTCACCACATCTTCATTGACGACAACATCCGGCTGGATGATGCAGACACCATTGTCCACCCTCAGGTAGGTGGCCGAACATCCCCTACTGCTAGCTGGGGTGTCCCTGCTTAGGCAGACATGTTCTGTTCCCTTTGTGTCAGCATGAGTGTGCAGAGAGGGACCAAGGCTTTGTCCTGGTGTCGCTGGTCCCCAGGTGACTGGGGCTGCCGGTGGGGAGGCTGGAATTGGCTGTCAGCACAGAACAGCAGGCGTTCAATGCCTGTGCATGCTGCCAAGCTCCTGTGCTCCACTGGGGTGAGTCATCCCTGCTCCCTGCCAGCACGGCAGCCAGCCAGCCTCACTGTGCGGCTGCAGCGTCCTGTGGCACTGTATTTAAAGGGCAGCATTTGTGGTGGAGCCTGGGAACACTGATGCAGACCGAAATGCACTCAGCAACTGGACAAACTATCAGTGATCAAACAAGAGCTGCAGCTCCACAGGTGAGTCTTAGCCCTGGCTGGGTTCCATCCAGGAGGAGTCAGCACACGAAGAAGCCTGCAGTGGTGTGCAGGGCACCTGGAGCATAGCAAAGATATTCACTTCTACACAAGCACTCTCAGATTTGTAGCTGGTGACAGGAGTTGTCACTGCACAGAGCAGACCTGTTACAGGAAAGGCTTGCTCTGTGCCTGGGCTGATTGAAGTGAATGAATGCAGAAGGCTCTGCTGAGAGCCCAACGTTTCTCTGCAGCAGCTGCTTCCTGCATGTCTAGAGCAGCCAGAGCACAACTCATGCAGCTCCACTTGCTGCATTTCAGCCCTGGGCTGTTTCCCTGATCAAGGAGCTCTGCCTGTCACCATCTGTAGCCAGCACAGCTGGGTCATTTGGGCTGCTCAGCTTGTCTTGGGACAGCTGTGAAGATAACCTCAAGGTTCCCCTGGCACCAGATCAGACAGGTGGGATCGAGTTATCTTGGCAGCAGACCCAGTAGGGGTTTGGATGGCAGCTGAGCAGTTTTCCAGCAGGGCTCAGTGCTGCTGTCTGGCCTCGCTCTGTAGTCTGGATAGCTCGCTTAGACACCATCTTCCTCTTTTGTGTCACTAGCTCTGCAGGGCCATCCCCTGTGTCAGTGACAGTGACAGAGTGCTGCACGGCTGTGCTGGGAAGGAAGCAGGTTATCAGGCAGCCTTAGGCAAAAGCATGGTGAAGCTGTTGACCCTTCCTGTGCCGTGTGGCTGCACCAGTTCTGGCAGCAGGCTGAGGCAGCAACGGCAGAGCTGGCGGCAGAAGTTTTCCTGGGGTTGGCTGATCACAGCACAGTTTTTCTTCCAGCAGCCCGGTGTGGCCCTTTCCTTAGGGGAGCCCCAGCCACACGTTGTGACAAGCTGGTTCTGATCCAAAGGGGCCGTCTGGGAGGGGAGGGAAATCTGGAGAAACTTAATCTACCGCTAGAGTGAAAATGGGAGCCCTTTCCTGCTGCCATCAGCTCGCTCAGCAGGAGATGCTCAGTTAGCTGTCAGCACCTGGCTGAGGGAGGCACTGTGATGCACACTGGGATGCATGCACTGCTGCCAGGCTTTGCACTTGGGCCGGGCACAGCCCTGGCACTGTTGTCCACAGGGGATGAGTGCTTCTTCCATACTCTGCTTTCTCCCACAGGTGTTTTCAGAGCGAGGCAGCAGCAGCCCCAGGTGTGCTCCTACCTCGGAGCTGTATGATGTTTGCTTGGTGCAGACCGACCTCCTGGAGGCCATCGCCAATGAGGACTATTTCCTCCGCTGCGTGAGGAGGTGTGAAGAGAACTATGATGGTTACCTGGCCCGCATGGAGAGCGGCTCCCTGAGCCAGCAGAGTGATGGACAGTGATACCACTGGGCAGACGGGGCTGGGGCCAAGGAGCTCAGAACAAGGATACCCCAATGCTTCCTTCCTGCTCCACAAAAAGTCCCGAGTGGGTTTTACTCTGAGCTGTCACCTCTCCAGCATGCGATGTGCCCTGTCCCACTGAGAGCCGCCAGGCCCAAACACAACTGTCCTGGGAGCTTGTGTGATGGCATCCCTTAAGGAAATTGCTTTCCCTTCCTCAGCAGCAGTGTAGGGAGCTGGAGCCCCTCAGCAGGCAGAGCTGTGCCTTGTGCCTGCTCCTGCCATGGGGCTGGGGCTCTCTGTGCCCTCTGATCCTGCAGCTACATGCAGCCATGCCAGTGTTTGTCTCCATTCCCACATCCCACAGAGGCAGCCGGCCTAGAGCTGGCACCATGGGTACGGTGTGCTCCCTAGCAGAGCTGGTTCCATGCCACTTCCGCCTGGTTTTAAAGCAAATCTTTCTACCTTGTTTCCGGTGCGAGTTCCCTTTCTGCCCTCACTCGGGCTGTGCAAGCACGGGGGAAGCGCCTTGCCCTCCGCGTTCACTTGCTTAGAGTTTGGCAAAGCGAGGAGCAAAGGGATGAGCAGCGTGGCATCGGCAGGCACCTGCCGCCGCCGAGCGACACCGGCTCCGGGTCTCCTGCGGGCGAACCCCGGTGCTCAGGGTGGGCTCCACGCCCTGCCCTCTCTTGCCTCCACCTGGTGATCCGCGCAGGACGTCGGGGGCATCGGGAATCGGGGCCCGGGAACAGATCCGGGGGGGCCGGGCGGGCGCGGCACCGCCTCCACCGGCAGCGGGCGGGCCCCGCGCGGAGAGAAGCGGCGGCGCTGAGCGGAGAGCGGCGGAACGGGCAGCGAGGTGAGCGCGGTGCGGTGCCTGTCCCGCTCCCGGGCGGCGGGACCGGTACGGGGCGGGACAGCTCCGGGAGTGCGGGATGCGGACGGGGAACCAGGGGAGGGTGCGGAGAGGGAGCATTGGGAGTCCGAGATGTGCACCGGGAGCCCTGGGGAGCGAGAGCATCAGAGAGTGCGGGAGATGAGCCGGGAGCGGATGCCCCACGGGACGAGCAGAGCCACGGGGAGCGGGTGCCCTGCGGAGATGGGCTGGGCACTGGAGCCCAGGGGCGTGAGATGGCTGGGTGTGCGGGATGACCGCTGGGATCCTCCAGCTGTGGGAGCCCCAGTGGATGCGGGTGGTGCATTGGGAGCACAGCAGCATGCTGTCACGCCGAACCGGAGGTTGTGACTCGCAGGGACCGAAGCAGCAGTTGGTGCTCAGTGCTGACCCTACTGCTCTCTTTGCAGGAGCTGGGCGGCAGCCGAGTCAAGTCCCACCACTGCCGTGGGCCGGATGGGTGGCACGGTGGGGCTTGGGCCCGGGGACCCCCAGGGTGGCTGAGCCATCCCATGGCGGCATCAAGTGCGGGTGCCTTTGCGTGGGTCTCCTTCCCCTCCATGCCCACACGGCGCGTGTACTGCAGCGCGGCGCACCACGATGGGCAGCTCTTCGTGCTGGGTGGCTGTGGAGGCAGCGGGAGAGCCCTGGGAGCAGCCGAGGTGCTTGACCTCCAGGCCCAGCGCTGGACCGCGCTCCCTCCGCTGCCCACGCCACGGGCTGGTGCTGCCACCCTGGCTGTGGGCAAACAGATCCTGGTGGTGGGCGGTGTGGATGCCTCGCAGAGCCCCCTCGCCTCTGTCGAGATCTACCATGTGGATGAGGGCAGGTGGGAGAAGGCGGCAGCGCTGGCACAGCCCTCCATGGGCATCGCGGCCGTGCAGAGAGGTAGGTGACACGTCCTGCCCAAACTTTGCCTCCGAGCCTCAGCACAGCCTTTGTGTGGGAGTCCCATGGAGGATGCGTGCGTTTGCTCTGGGCTGGGGATGCGGTGGCATCACCCTGGGGCAGAAGCCGGTGGGGCTGTGATGGGCGCAGGCAGGGGTGCCGGCAGCGGAGCAGGATTTGGCAGCATGGCAGCGTTGCCATGGTGTCTCCAGGGAGATGGTGCTGCCGGGAATAATTAGAGCCGATGGCCCTGGTGCTCTGCTCCACACAGGGTGGATGGGGCGGGCGAGGGTCCAAGCGGGGTCAGGGCACTGCCCAGCTGTGCTAGCTGTCTTCCCCTCACCCCTGCTGGTTCCACAGATGGTGCCGTCTATGTTCTGGGGGGAATGGGAGCAGATACCTCTCCGCAGGCGCTGGTTCGCGTCTATGAGCCGGCGAAGGACCACTGGCAGCCGCTGCCCTCCATGCCCACACCATGCTATGGGGCCTCTGCCTTCCTGCAGGGCAACAAGATCTTCGTCTTGGGTAGGTAGACGAGCCCAGAAGCCTGCCCCGATGGGTGCATTGCTTCAAGGCCCAGGGTTGTTCCATGAGGACCCTTCTGCTGGGCATCACTGGTGGTACCGGCTGCCTCTCAGGTGCCACCAGCCCTTGCATCTCATCCACACACAGGGGGCCGGCAGGGCAAGCTGCCCGTCACCGCCTTTGAGGCTTTTGACCTGGAGACAAAGAGCTGGACGCGCTACCCCAGTGTGCCCAGCCGCCGCGCCTTCGCCTCCTGCGCCATGGCTGACAGCGTCTTCTTCAGCCTAGGGGGGCTGCAGCAGCCAGGGCCACACAACTTCTACTCCCGACCACATTTCGTTAACACCGTGGAGATGTTCGACCCCGCGCAGGGTGAGGCCCAGATGGGGAAGGAGTGCTGCCTGTGTTGTGAGGTCCATGGTGATGCTGACAGTCTCTTCCTGACAGGTGCGTGGAGCAAGCCCAGCCGTGCCATCCGCATGAGGGAGAAGAGAGCTGACTTCGTTGCTGGCTGTCTGGGAAGATACGTGGTCGCCATGGGTGGCCTTGGTAATGCTGACTGCTGTGGCTGTGGTGGGGAATGGGCGCTCAGTGCATGAAAACCTGTCCTTCCTGGGCTCCATCTGCACAGAGCTGCAGCATTGCAACCTGCTCCCAGGAGAGCTGGGGAAAGGTCAGCACTGCTGCTCAGCAACAGGAAAACTGTGGAGAGGGCTCCCAGGGCAGCTGCAGCACCCCAGCCTCGTGGGCTCTGGCCACACTTGAGATGCCAGAGTGCCAGCCAGGGGCAGCACCATGGTGCAGCATTGTTGCCAGCAGCCCTCTCCCAGGGGATGCTGTTAATCCTGCTGAACCCCTGCATCGTTACTTCAGTACAGCAGAACCCAGGGTGCATGGAGAGGGCTGAGGCCATGCCATCTCTTGCAGGGAACCAGTCGTGCCCGCTGGACTCAGTGGAAGGGTTCAGCCTCACACGGAAGAGGTGGGAGCTGCTGCCCCCCATGCCCACTGGCCGCTGCTCCTGCTCCAGCTGCCCAGCCCCTGACCTGCTCTTCGTCATCGGTGGAGTGGCCCAGGGCCCCAGTGGAGCTGTTGAGGCTCTCTGCCTGCGTGATGCACCCTGACAATGGCTCTTCGGCCTGGGGAGCAGCCCCAGCAGAGCATCAAGTGCCTGAAGACGGGGACAGGGTGTGCAGGGCTCCAAGAAGCTGCCGTCCCGTGATACCAAGTACTGCAGCAGCGTACTGCAGCAGCCACGGTTTCTTGCAACGCACCAGAAACCCCTCCAGGCTCCCACAGCAGCGGAGTCCAGGGGCAAAACCTGGTGCCCAGGGTGGGACAAGGCTGCTGGCATGGGGAGCCATGGAGGTAGGGCTGTCGCTGGCCATGCTGCCCCATCCAGCCCCGTGTCCGTGCCGTGTGTGTAGCAGTGAGTGCTGTGTCGTTGTAGACCCAGTCGATGTCTCATGTAGCGCAGAGGTGCCCTGTAGCTCAGTGCCTAGGAGGTGATGTAGCACCTCAAATAAATGAAACGTGAAGTTTTAGCTTACTGCAGTCATGTCATCCTGCTGTGGGGGGGACAAGGGTTGCCCCAGCTTGCTTAGCACTTGCTTGAGCCTTATTGGTTTTAGCTTCATGCAAAGTCACACACTTAAAAGCACAGACAGGTCGGAACAGATGCAGGTGAGAGATTCAGTCTTTTAATGAGATGACATTAGAAAAAATCTCATGGGCCGGGGTAAATATCAAACGTGAGCATCTGACCTTTCAGAGAGGGTGGCCAGTGTGCTGCTGCTGCATCAGGCTTTACACATGCCAGGGCATTGCATGGAAAAAGTTGGGCATGGTTCAGAGAAGAGCCACTTGCTGCATTTTGGGAGGAATATTCTGGGATCCTTGGGCTGGCGGTACCTCTGTTGCTTGAAGCATCCTTGCATTCACCTCTGGAGTTGCCATAGAAACACTCCTGTGCTGGAGCCAGCATCAACATGGGGCCCCAAACTGGGAATTGAGGTGAAGCAGCTGGAGGGACTCGCCATCAGCAGGACATTAGTGACTTGTGCTGTGCTGAGAGGTCAGGGGGCTGGAAAGAGGGATCCTGTGCTCCAAGCACAGCACACTGGCACACTGCTATGAATATTGCAGCAAACTGCACTTTCACAATGCTCCCCTGAAATGCCTTGGTGGGACAGGTATGGTACCCCTCTACAGCATGCCAGCCCTTTCCAGAAGCCACCGAGGCTCCTAAGAACTCACCACAGCTTTTGTCGTGCGCAACCCTAAATCACAGAGTTGCACTGGAAACGCAGACCTGATTAACGAACTCATCCCATGGCAGCATGGCACGGACAGAACAAATCAGGCACTGAGTCACCGGCAGGCTGACACTCCTCTGCAACATTCCCTTCCAGCATGGCGGGCTGCAGAGTGGGTGCTGGTGCTTGGAACTGCCCTTTCCAAACGCAAGGCCATGCCAGCTGCACCTCAGCACCTTGCTGTCGTGTGTCCCCACTGCGGCGACATTTCCAACAGCTCTACAGCTGTTGTCTCTTTGTTGCCTACAGTCAGCTTGCCTCTTTCATTAGCACCCAAGTCTCCTGCATGTGACTAGGAAATCTGGGGTGCATCCACTGACTGCAGCACCACTTGACTGTTTCAAGTGAGAAGAATCTGTGACCTTTCCTAAAAGTCTGGATTGCTCATTCTTGTCTCTCTCCACTTTTGGGCATTGGAGCAGGATCCCAACCAAATGAGGGGAAGAAAGCCTCAAAGACAAGAGCCAAGAATGTCTTGGGATGGATGGAGAAATCTTCAAGCAAAAGGGCAAAATAAATGATGACCCTGACGGTGCTTAAGACTGACACATAAGACTGACACATTATTTGTTTAAGAGCTCATGTGAGTTGCTAATTAAATGCTAACAAATTGAAGAAAAACAGTTGAGGGTCGTACAAGATATATTGCTGTCTATCTCCTGGTATGTTCTAATTTTTACTAAATGAAAGGCTTCAAGTGTGTGGCTGGACTCCCTAATGCTAGAAGCACAGTCTGTTACTCCAGATAGAAGGAATTCTACAAGCCAGCACCTGGCAACACTTCTGATCTCCACAGAGCTGCGTTATGGATGAGGAAGACTGGGACTGGAACTAGCTGTCAAACCCATAATTAAAAAAATGTGTTTTCTTATAGAATTTCTTTCTGTTGTCAGGAGAGAAGGAATACAAAATCTCATTTATCATATTTCACAAATTCAGTAGACATTCAAACCAGAAAGCTCCAGCCACATCAGAAACATGAATAGTTCTGCATAATAACTTAAAATAACGCCCTGAATCCTATAGCTCACACACAAAGTGCCAGGAAATCCTTTCCAAATAACAGTGCTGTAATGGGTAGAAGGCCCTGTGGGCTCCTATGAATGGAGTTCTAGATTTTCCAATAAAAGGATGGAAAAACACTGTTTGTGATGTAGGACCACATTGGACCTCAATACAGCAATAGCAGCACTGGGCATTGGCCTGCACACCCAAGCTGTACAGAGCACAGCAGCAGACCAAAGCCTTCTTTTACTCAAATGGTGCCATAACCATGGATATCCCTGCAGCAGTGCTCTCTGGAGGAAGGTTGGGCTTCCATCCTTAGGTGGCTGACTATCATACTACTGTCATCTGTGGGAGCACAGCCTCTGCTTCAGTCCTAGAAAAGCTTCCTACCACCCAATCATCGCACAGGCAAGAGTTAAGAAGTCATGGAGATAAAATTGAGTTATTTATACAGACATAGCTTTGTTGTTACGAGCAAAAACAATGCAGCAGAGCTGCTCCAAATTGTTTGTGAAGGGTAAAAGTCCGTAATTCTTTAGGTCAAGCCTTCAGTTCTTCAAGATTTGTTAAGGAAACACAGCATAGTTATTGTTTTGACACCTCAGAGCTCCAGGCTGTATTAATGCTAAAACTTCCCTCCAGGCAAGAGGGGCTTGAAGGGGATGTGATGAACCCCTCTAATCTATCTTCAAATTAAAAGCAGCTTTATTTCTGCAGCAGTTTGTTGCTCACAGAGCACCTTCAGAACTTGCAAACAAACAGCTTAACAGGCATTAAAATTGCCTTGAGTTAAAGGGGGAAAAAATAGGCAAGCAAGCGTGCCCATTTTCCATTCCTGAAGATGAGGAGCATAAAAATTCCAGAGAAACCATATTTGAGAGTATTTCTGCAGGGCACGTTTAGATCATGGGTTATTTCTGTCAGACTAGCAAGTAAAATTAAGCTGTTCTGCATTTCCAAGAGTGTTGTTGACACTGGAGACTGCGCAGCCCTTGGGCACAAAGCGCCCCAGTGTGCTGCACAGACAGCCAAGGGTCCCCAGGCTCAAGCACTTCCTTCACACAGCACTGGGGTTGGTCCTGCCTGTGTGGGGACAGCCTGAGAGAACCCAGCTCCGTGAGGAGCCTGCAAGCCCAGCTCCAGCATCCACACTGGCCGTGGCAGCCATGTTGGCTGTGGCAGCCATTTTGGCCGTGGCAGCCATGTTGGCCAGGCCTCACCGGGCCCCATGCTGGGCCGTGCTCCCCTTGCAGCAGCTGTGCTGTGTCCCAAGAGAGCCTTAACTCTGCAACGCTCACAAACTGCCCCCGGCTCAGGCGGTACATGAGTTTCCTGGGGACAGAGCCCGGCAGAAGCGTTCCTCACCCCAGCCCCAAAAACACAGTGGCTGCAGGGTGACCAGGCTGCAGGTTGGCTGCTGCCATTGCAGTGCAGCCAGCAGCCCCACAGGTGGCTGCATGCAGGATCAGTAGCTCTCGTATTTTTCCTTTCTAACAGTTAATCTTGAGGGGAAAAAAAAAATGAATTTCAACGTCTGGAATATCAAGGAGATGCTCAGCACTCCCACAGCCTCTGGGTAAGTGCCGTGTGTTTTCACACCCGTCACACTGCAGCCCTCAGAGCCTTTAAGTACAACAGCCTCTCTCAGGAATTGAGATGATGAGGATGTTATAAATTCAAAAAGCTCCTTCCTGATGTGTGGTTGGTTAGAGTACCAAACAGTTGGGAGGTCTTGCACTGCTAACATACAGCATTCCTAGAACTGGCAACATTCTGAGTGTTTAAGAGCATTTACTCAAAAACATTTTAGTGGTCCACTTATTGAATTCAAGACGTATAAGCAGAGGGATTGTGGTGAGCAGCAGGTTATATTACCTGAGTGAATACTCCTGTAAATGTGGTGTAATAGAGTGAAATATGGAAAGAGGAAAATCTGCTGTGCCTGCCCTATGCCCAGCTTTTGGGTGGCTTTCAGACTGTTCTCTTGGGTTGGCCTAGGATAGGAACAGGCAGGAACTTTGCCTGTATAAGGTTATAAGCTGTACAATAGGGATATAAGCTAGGAGGTGATCCAGCAGGGTCACCTGGAACAGGAGGCACCACCATTTTTTTTGTTATAGCTCCCTACTTTTGGAAATTGTTGGAGAAACTGCCATAACTACATGGTCACTGTACTGCCAAAGCAGGGAATGACTGCAGGAATGACAAGAAATATGTCTAAAATTAATCTGCGGTTAATCATGGTCTGTTGAATTATGGCTAATTAGCCTACTCTGTGATTCTGTTTCTGTCTACATTACTCTCAGCCTACTAAGTACTGTGATAGATTTACCATTGTAGGGAATTTTAAAATCAACACTGGCAGCTCTGCTGAAAGCTATTCTGTGCTTTGAGCAGGAATTTATTCAGGAGTCCTATGGCCTATCTTATGCAACATGTCTAATTAGATAAGTTAAATGCTCCCTTCTTGCCTTGCATAGAAGATAGATAGAATGAATCACGATTTGCAATATCATTACACGTTATGTAACTCTAAAGTTATTCCATATACTGCATTTATACACATGGATGATTTCTTTCCCCAGTAGAAGTCAAAGAGCAGCTATAACTCCCCACATCTACAATATATAATGAAATAACAAATATTATTTGTATTGAACATCTAGAGAACAAACGCATAAAATGCCTTTTTTTTCCTTTTTTTCTTTTTAAATGAACAGCAGAGTATCAACCTTTGCATCACTTGGCTTAAAAACAGTGCCAGATTTATCCCTCATTTAACTCTGGAGAAGCTAATTGATTACTTTTGTCCTCTGATCCTCTGGTAGTTAAATAACCACTTACATAACTAACTGTTCAAATTCACAGTTTTAGTCATAGTGTCTCCGATGTGGCCTGATGTTACAATGATGATGGATGATAATGAAAATATAATCGCAGGTTCCTTCCCCATTATAAAAGTACTTGTCGCATAGGTATGAATTAATTGAGTTTTGCACAGATGCAGGGGTCAAAGAGGACCCAATTCAGAGAAAAGTATGTTTATACCTGTCACAATTTAGCCTTCATAAATATGCATTGCATCATTCTATTGTCTTGATTTTTTTTTCTCTGCTTTTATTAAAGCCTTGCCTCTTAACTAATCTAATAACACACGATTGAAACACAGGTGAGATTTTATCACCTGCTCCTCAGCATTCCACTTTTTTGGCAAATGAGTTGAGAG